AACCTGTATATTTGTGCAAGTCTGGATTCAATTTTTTAAAAGCTTTTTTGGTATAAGGTATGATGCAGATAAAATCACTAGATTTTGAGTTATTAAGCTTTTAATAGGACAATTAAGGAAAAAAATACATCATCTATCGAAACAAAAGACAAAGATTGAGCTAGTTCTATATTGCCACTAAGAATACAGATTTGACGTGAAAACTAATAACAATTAGAACAGTATAAGTCTGGCTCAAGCGTAATAGAGAAAAACAACTATAACAACAACCTAAACAAACAACTATCACTATATCATGAATAACATGCAATAAATAGATTTTCCCAAAATGGATTGGTTTATGAGTAATATTCCCTCCACACATGGATGGGCCACCGTGTATATGCAAAAAATTCGTGAAATCTAAATTCTTCTGTTCTATCTCCAACCATTCGTGAATTATATGCGATTAAAAAACAACAACAAGAAACAAATGTCTTTCAAGAATCATATGAGAACTGAATGGAAAAAGTAAAACCAAGTAGGTTGCCTCAATACTCCCACCCATTAGTATATATGTTTATATATATACCTATATATACACTCTTCCCATAAATTACTGTTAAAAAAATTGACTTTTGCTAACTTCTCTAGGATCAAATTGATCAAATGCGTCTCAAAAATATTTTACCTGCACAGAAGTTGAAGAACTGATGCCCAGTCTCAGAATTGTCGCACAACCTATATTTCAACCATGGCCCGAAATACCCAGAAAATCGAAAAACGTCAAATAACAAGATTCTGCATTTTTTGGGTATTCACCTCCATGAACTTTTATAATGCTTCAAAAAATAATTTACAACTCCGAAAGCATGCAATCCATATCTTTACTTGTTCCCGTTAATGGTGAAAGCATTTAAGGAGTTCTATTATTGGCATAGCAGTAGCTTTGTGTCTAGCTTGTATTATAATCCGAGCAGTAATTTCCGAACTATATGAATAGAGAACGTCGTAGATTTTCACTGAAGTTGTTTAAAAGACCCGTGTTCTGACTATACAACAGTCATACATATACAACAAAACCTATTTGATCCATAATGTAATTAACCATTTCGATACTGAATAATGCACAGATCACCGCAGCCAACAGCGCTGAAAATACAGTCCGTCCCTGTCTGTTGCTGCTTTTGGCTGAAGCGAGCTCGTCGACAGCTCCGGTTATTTTGGTGCAATATGTGCTGAGCACATTTGCTGTCATGCGTGTGCGTAAAACTGAGTGATTTTACTAACACTATACTGTATCTTGAACATTTGTAGTACATGCCGGGAAGAATCTTGACCTCTTTATCTCATCCTCCATACCAGCAGCTCTTGGAAACCAACGACAGGTAGGTTGTGACGAGAAACTCTTTAGAAGCAAGCGATAAGCATAACAGTGAAATCTGTCAAATTAATCCATTAGTTCAGGCGATGGAACGTCCTGTATACATTCGTAGTGACCAAGCGCAAGCGGCCATGATATGAACTTTGAACCATTTCCGCATGAGAAATTCAGAAACAAAAACGGCGCGGACGAAGCACCATATGAACAACTAGCCATAAATTACCATGCAGTATCACCGAGCATCACAAAACAAAGACCGAATTACACATGCACTTGGTGTTGACTCATAATACACCGAGCTGCTTTTTGTCTGGACGATTTAATATGCGTCTCGCTTGATAATCTAAATAATTACGATGCTAACACACATATACGCTGATACGTTTGTGAAAAATTCTTTGTCTGTTCGACTGCCGGATGCGGTTTTTGTTTATTTTGCAATGAGTTGCCAGAGCGGAAATTTGCTGGTATCTATCAAAAGCCCACCAATCTGTAACCGACAAGGTCTTTATTTTACTTTCCATGAAAAATAACAAATGCGTTATTTTCTTGATATCTCATGCCAACAGCTTACTACTGACACTTTATTGAAATACTAGATTTTCTCCAGTCACAGTTTTCTGACTCTTTTGGAAACCTTTTAGAATTTTTGGATCTACTCAGATCTCTTTGGATTTGCATGGATCTCGTTATATCTCCCAATAGATAGAAAATCTAAGATTGCACCAGATTTCCTCTTACTGGGGCAGAAATGTCCCTTGGTTACCATCAAATCTCCTTGGATTACCCCGAACTGCTACTGAACTTTTTGTTTACTTCGGATGCCAACATTAAAACTAACAACTCAACTAGAGTTAAAACTTGACGTCGAACCAATCTTCAAGTAGAGGTTACGTATCCGACCAGTCGGCAGCACCACAGCCCTTTTCTCTATCAAATTCTGTCATTGTGGAACTTCTTTGCTCTAAAATCATTCTCTTTCATTATCGTTCAATATTTCCTTGAGTAAAATCTGTATATAGTATTACATATATTTCTGTCCGCCAAATGAAACCACATACAGGGTCCCAGAAATAACACGGGAGGAACATTGGCTGTAAATCAATCAGATAAAATCAATATGACCTTAGTAAGCGTTTTCTAGTTTTCGGGATATTGCCACTTTTAAGCTTTTACAAAAATTTCTACTTTTTCCCCTTTTTTGACTTTACCCATTCATTTCATTGAAAACTAGCATGTTATGATAAAAGAAATCATTACATTTTGTTTCAATATGAAAATCGTTACTAAAGACAAATTACTGTGAAAAGCATTTCCTAGAAGATGGATTGGCTGGCGAAGACCAATTTTCGCTTCCCAGACCTGAACCCTCTGGGTTTTTTTTACTGAGAATGTTTAAGAGATAAGGTCTATGGAAAACCAGTTCGATCGGCTGATGAACTGAGTCGTCGAATCCGTCAAGCAGCAGGCAAAATATCCAATTTGAGTTTAAAAAGTTTAAAAGGATATTTTTTAAGAAGATACAGGCTGAGTATAAGAGTTGGTGGTAGAGATTTTGGAAATCTGTTGTGAAAATAATAATAATAATAATAAATATAATAATAATAATTTATTTCAGGCAATATTTACATTACAATATGTTAATTTAATTTTCATTTAGTTAATTTATTTAAGATGCTAATAATGATTCCCAATTCTTTATTTGGTTTGAATGTTGTAAAAATCAATGGAAATAAAAAAAATACAATCTAATGTTCCGCTCATTATTTTATTAGCTGTTTTGCCTGTTTTAGACATTTGCTAAAATAAAAAGCTGGCAGCAACTACAAAGTTGTAATTTGGACACAAAAGACATATGCACTTAATATTTTTTTATTTGTAGGATTTCGCAAGTATTACCACTTCAGTGACAAAAGTTGGAATTATTCAGTTGTTAGTATGTTATACTATTTTTGAAAGATCACTGAATAGTAGCTAGTTTTTGAGGTCATTTGCTGATTCAGTCTGGTACATTCCTTGACAGTAATTAGTCAGATTTTGGTAAAGGTTTTCGCATTGAAACCAAATGGTATAATTTAGTTTTTTTTAGCATACTGTGCCAGTTTTTAATGAAATCAATAGTATTACCAACTATTAATCGTGAACAGGAAAAAAAATATAAGTTAGAAGTTCTTCATAGCCATAACAAGCAGAAAACGAGCAAAACGTAGTGATTTTTGAGAAAAACTTAAAGAGTAGCAATATAGTCTAATCATATTAGTCAAAAATAATAAATAAATAATAGTTTGAGAAATAATTGTAAAGTTCAAGTTTTTGAGAATTCCTAATTATTTATCCCAATACAGCTGTTTTCCGGCCATCACTACTAGTTTATTGAGTAATATACACGGTTAGCTCAAAGGGCATTTTATAGCAGAATATTCTAGTTCACCTTGCCGATATGAATTGCAAACCATTCCAGAAGATAAATGTTATTGGTATGCAAAAAAGGATGGATTACGTTTTTTCTTCTAAACAAATCCAAACACGTCGTATTTGTGAGCAATTCGCAGCAAAACATGATAGACATACTCGCTTTTTATTTTAAATACATATTGTAACGTACGTTTTTCGAATATCGTAGCGCATTTGTTCAATTACCCACAAATACGACATGTTTGAATTTGTTTAGAATAAAAAAACGTAACCTACGTTTTTCGCATAAAAAGAACATTTATTTTTCGGAATGGTTTGTGATTCATATCAGCAAGATAAATACGTGTATTTTGCTATAAATTGCTCTTTGAACGAACCCTGTATATTGCTCAATAAACTAGTAGTGATAGCCGGAAAACAGATATTTTGAGAAAATAATTAGAAATTCTCAAAAAAGTACTAGACCAATATACTAAAATTTTGTTGTTGTTATGAATCCTACGTATTTGAATAATGTCAAGTGACTGCGTGAAATTATCGCCGCATTACCGATAAGTGCCAAAACCTGCATTTAGCCTTGTTTTTCGGCGACAACATTTTTGCTATTAGTCGGATATTTTCACGTGTGGTCTCATTTTGTAGGTCTCATAAATACCTAAAAATCTTGTATAAAAAGTTTTTTCGTTTCTGTCAAAACTTTCGATTGAATTCCAAAAAACACGTTTTCTCATTCTTTGTTGTCAAATATTGGTGTAGGGTATTGTCGGGAACAGTGGCTCAGTCGGGTACAGTGGCTCCATTCAATATCTCCAAAACGAGAGAGACTATCTATCTGTCGCAGTCATCTACATCAAGTGTTTACGACACAAATGCGCATGAACCAGTCGGTCAGCAACTAAAGCACTGATAGCACGCGTCTCGCCTTTGTGTTGGTTTTCAGGTACCCAAAATTACATTTCCAGGTAAGTTTGACTTTAAAATTCTAGCTTAATTGCTGTAGTTTATTATTTATTTATATTTTGTAGTAAAGTAAGTAGAAGCAAGATAATTTTAACTTTGCTTAGAACAGCCAGTGCAACGTGAATATGGCACAGAAGACATATATTTCAAAATGGCGTCACGGTCGACAGTGGCTCAGCACGTGGAAGTACACAGTGGTTCACGAGCCACTGTGTACTATGAGTGAACCATTGTGTACCGCTTACTTGAATATTTGTTTCAGAATGCCTCGCAAGAAACGGGCAATGAGAAAAATTGGCAACAGCTCCGCTGCAGACGTTAAAGCTGGGGTACTATTAATAAGGCAGGGTATGTCTATCAGAAAGCAGCTACGAGTTGTGGTGTGCCATTTACTACCCTGAAGAGGTATTATTGGAAAACTGCTGGTTCCGAAAATCTCGATGAGGAGCGATTCGAGCCGAATTATTCTGTGAACCAGATCTTTACCGCATCCCAAGAAGAGAAGTTGAAGGAATATTTTTCGCATTGCGCTCTTCTGTTTTACGGATTAACTGCAAGAGAATGTCGTCAAGTGGCGTATCAATGTGCTAAGCTAAATAATATAAAGATGCCTAAATCTTGGACAGACAATGAAATGGCGGGTAAGGACTGGTTAACTTTGTTCAAACGTAGGAACAGGTTTTCTTCCAGGAGACCAGAACCTTGTAGCCTAGCAAGAGCTACAGCCTTCAACCGAAACAACGTCAATAATTTTTACAATAATTTAGAAGATCTGATCAAGAGAAACTCGGCTTTTGCAAATGGTACCCGTATATTTAATCTGGATGAAACATCAACGACAACAGTGCAAAAGCCTCAAAAAGTAATAGCACCATTAGGCAGAAAATGCATTGGAAAAGTCACAAGTGGTGAGAGAGGAACTTTGGTAACCACATGCTGCATTGTAAGTGCCAGCGGCAACGCTTTGCCACCAGTTATGATATTTCCTAGGAAAAAATTCAAAGATCATATGATCAAAAACACACCTGCAGGAACACTCGGCTTAGCAACGCCTAGTGGATGGATGAACGCGGATAGTTTCACAGAAGTAATGAAACATTTTATCAAGCATACGAACTCTTGCAAAGAAAATCCTAGTATGTTGGTAATGGATAACCACGAGTCACATTTGAGCATTGAAGCCATACAGTTGGCAAAAGATTGTGGAGTCAATCTCCTCACTATTCATCCCCACACTTCGGGGAAATTACAACCACTTGACGTGGGAGTATTTAGCGCGTTCAAAGTATATTATAATGCTGGCATCGATTCCTGGCTTATGACACATCCTGGAAAGCCTGTTACCATATATGACTTAGGTGAAATCATTGGGGCAGCCTTTCTTAAAGCAATGACCCCAACAAACATTACCAGGGCTTTTGCAAAATGTGGTATTTACCCATTCGACAGAAACCTTTTTACAGACGAGGACTTTCTGCCAAGTACAGTAACAGATCGTCCAGGTCCCTGTTCAGACTGTTTGCCACGTGAAGAAGGGCTCATAAACGTAAACATCAATTCAATGAATGTCATCGAGTTGGGAGCACTCATCGGAGCATTCTATTCCACAGACTTGTGCAACATCAGAAAAACCATGCTCACCAACGTTGGGTACTTCGACGACACAACCAAGTCAAATTGAAACCACTGTTGTGTCTATCAACCATCAATCCATTTCTAAAGAAGTGGAAACGAAGAACCTGTCCGATGAAGATTCAATTTTGACAAAAACAAAAGTATCCAATACCGTTTCAGTTCCATCAGGACTCCAGTCATTAAAAATATTAGCTCCTGAAGTGCTCATATCAGCAATTTCTTCGAACAAACTTCCACCCAAGCCATATATAATTACCCCGACACAAGACGTTGCTTTGACACCATCCATTTCTCAATCAGCTGAGAATACTTTTACATCTCCGTTTGAGTTTAGAGACCCAATAAAGGCTGGACCTAGAACAACTACCCGCAAGCGAAGGAAACCAGGCCGTAGCATGATTCTTACTGACACACCGGAAAAAGTTCGTCTAGAACAAGAAAAAATAGCTGCTAAAAGTAAAAACACTAATAAGAAGGGAAAAGTCACTCGAAAATTATTACAAAGTGATGAAGAAGATAATGATCAAGAGAAGGAAACAGTGGAATATGCTGAATCTGATGATGATACAGACTGGGCAGCAGAAGATGAAGACGAAAACTCTGACGAAGAATTAGTGATTATAACTGAAAGGCACCTAACCAAATCTCTAACTCGTGCGCCACTAGAGGGCGAATATGTGATTGTACAATTTACAACAAAAAAACTTACATCGCTTTACGTTGGAAAGGTGATAGAAGGTAGAAATGAGAATAATGAATTCTACAGATCATTTCTGAGGCGTACGCCTGGTACTAGCAAATTTCACATGCCTGATAAGCCTGACCTTTCTGTTATAAAAGAAAGTGATTTGAAATTACTTCTGCCAAAGCCTTCAATTGTTGGCACTTCTTCTAGGCCGTACTATAATTTTGGACTAGATTTATCCCAACTTCGGATATGCTAAGAGGTATAAAGGTTATGGAGTTATTAATTTTTATTTTTGACTTGTTCTACAAACTTTCATCATTCGATGAGCTTAAGGAGTAAGATTGGTTTTTGTCTCTGATTGTAATAAAAGTTTTTTTTAACATTATAAGTACAAAAGAATACTTACAAAGTAATGTGTACATTTGTAAGTTAAGTAGAAGACTTAATTTTATTTGCTTGCTGATTATTATTATTGTTATTATTTATGCTTACGATGAGACTTATTAAAGTAGAAGTTCTTCAGTGTTTTGTAAGGCAAATAGGAGTCTGATGTATGTGTGATTTTGATTATTTCAATGTTAACAGCTACGATGCGCTCATTTTGTTTTTTAATATAGTAATGGGAATAAGTTTATTTTGATCAGTGTTTTTTCCGAGATATTCAAATGTGACTCAGAAATAAAGATTTCAACAGCATTCCCGTACTTTTGATTAACTCGGTTTGTCTTGAGTCTCTGTGTACTGTTAGAACCACTGTGGACCACTGGGGTGTGTCACTGTAGCACCCTACCTGTGCACAGTGGCTCATTTCTAATTTTTTACAAAATCATTATTGGTTGTTTTTTGGCACCCTTTGTGGACATTTTGATGGCACAGGATAAAAATTTCATAACCTCTGCCCACATTGGCCGAGTTTCAAGCCATTTGGTGAAGACTCGATGAATATTAGAGTCAACTGAAAAAAAGTGAGCCACTGTTCCCGACAATACCCTACTCATTTCATGCGTCCATGTTATACCCCCTTGAACAACTAAACACTAATAAAACCAGACTTTACAATTATTTCGGGGAAATTTACTAGTATGATTAGACTAATATATCGAAAGCTAGAAAATTTTTACTAAGGTCATGTTGACTTTATCTGTTTCATCTGGATCCAGTCTATCTTCCGTGTCACTCTTGCGTGTTATTTCTGGGACACCCTGTACATGTGTCAACCCCGGCGGCCTTTTTCAAAGGTTTTGCGTTGTATGATTTCATTTTTTTGCTGCTTCTACTTGTATACAGCGTGTGTTGCCACAAGAACTTGAATGGTACGTCACCTCGCCAATTTTACTTTTAAAATGGCACCGCGCAAAACTAGTAAAGCCCATGACCGACTGGGATAAGCATTCCCGCTCCCAAAAGATGTCCAGTGCGTCCGAAGCGACAAGTGGCTACGAGGTTATCTGTTATTTTGGATGCACCAGTCACCTGACCTTCATCGCCCCGAAATCGCCCAAAGACTTCGTGAACGCGAAAACCCACCCAGAACTCTTGTTGGTTGACTGGGATTTGCTGGTTTCTCGCGGTACTATTTTAAAATATTGTAATGATGAATTCACAAAATCTCGGCGCGGCTTGGTGCAAGGACCGTATAGTAGCGGCAAAAACAAACAAGCTGTCTCCTGGAAGACGGTGTTTTATCAGTATTTTGAAACAGGCCACCGAGGTCATTCCCATATACACTGAGAACCAAATTTGTCTGACGTCTTGAGTTCAATGTGTGCGACAGAGAAGTGTGTATAGACACATATGTCAGAGAGAGATAGAAGCCGCCTGGATACGGAAGTTTATCCCGCGTTGGCTAGCAACACTGACACGGCAATCTGCCGCCTTGCCAGTATGTTACACCAGTTCGTTGAATTAAGATGCATGCTGAAAACATGGCTTAGTTTATTCTCTGCGCAAAAAATAATGGTTTTATTTTGAGTGTACACATTTTTAAACTGTGTATCGTATCGAATCTGTTTAGGATTGATCGGTTCTAACGGCGCTCCATTTGGATCAAAGATGATTTTGTCTTTGGAGATGATATTAGCTATGGTCCAGAAGTCCAGCGAACCGTATGAAGGTCAATCCAGTTAATTTAACGAAGAGGGCACTGTCTATCGAACCACCATGTGATACCCATCAGCTCGAGACGCCGCTGTGCCAAGAACAAAAACGACAAAAAGAAGATTAGCGAAGACGAAGCCAAAAGACAGCATGCAGCTGTATCTCCGCCACTTCATCTGGAAAGCATCTTCTTCCTACAAGCCAGTCCTACACGGCCTGAACTTTCTTACCTCAGCCGACCAGTGGGATCAACTCCATCCCGCACCGTTTGGATAACGAGTATTTGGTTTGGTCGACTGGACGTAGTAACCCCCACCGAATTCCGATAGTAGCGTAGTAGTAAAGAGCGAGAGCGAGGTGCGTACGCACAGCAGGCTTGACGCCGTGACGCGCTAACGCGCAGCGAGTACGATACTAGTGATGGGAAACACGATACACATTAGCTTTGTACCAACCTTTAGTGCTAGTATCGTACCAGAACCGTTCGATTATCGTGGGGTTCTAGGATCGTTTCTGGACTGTAAAAGGTGTTGGAACGGATTCGGAATCGTCTTGTGCCTCAAAATTGACAGGATAGCCAATGTTGCCTGATCTACCAATTTTTCAGCATAGCTATGAAGAGCTTTAGATGTTCTATTTAATTCGCTTCTTTAGCGACAATGTTGTTTACACTTCACCCTCTCTTGAAATATGACATGGCTTAAGTAAATTCAAATCGTAACATTAACTTATTAGAAGGTAATTTGGAATTAAAATAAAAATTAAATATTTTGGGTGTAACGTTTGATCAAAAGAGCTTCATGTGAATCATTGGTTTTATATCTGTGGTACATTACTCTGATATCTTACATTACAGTTACCTGTACTGTGATAAAGATGCGTTTGCAATAAGTTCAAAATCCCTGATGTAGATTTGTTTATGGACTAAAAAATATGATCATATATGAGCAACCATGAAATGAAATTGGTTGGCTGACTGTGGAAAGAAAACAGTACTCTACTATGTCTATTTTACATTTGTTTATGAATCAGCAACGACTTCCACCCTACCATATTCATTTGAAAAACTTACATGTTCTAAAGAAATATAACTTGAGCATATATCGTCACCATTCATGCATTCAACACTATTTCAGAGAAGATATTTTTTCCTTGAGGATGCTGATATTAATTCTGTGTACTACATTTTTCTGAATTGTTGTTGCCTTTGGCTAAATTTCGCCCTTCTTAAAGCCGGTATATTACTTTTATTATTATATGAATCCGCAAATGCGTAGGTACATTCACTCCAACAAACCACGGAACTGGAATTTGTCGATCTTGCAACATTGCTGGTAGCTATCAAGATCACCTAACCTAACCGCCATTTGCCGTTTGTTTTGGTTTATAGCTTTATAGCTCTTCTGCGCATGTCAGTTCCTTTAGTTCTCGCTTCAGTGCAGGTACGGATATCACCATAACAAAACCGTCCCAAATCGACCCCAAAACGTGTTGGAACACAATGCAGAACCGTTCTGTTACTGTGACGGACAAGGCTGGAGCACTGTTACCTAAATGCGCAAGCGCGTGACCGTTCCAGCACGGTTCTACGGCGGGTTGGGACAAAGCTATTGTGTACACATATGATCTAGTTGCACAATCCTACTAGCAACAAGGTCACTATTAGCCGTTTTTTTGTTGTAATATCGTTGTAGTCGCCATTCTTGATGGGTCAAAGTAAGACTAACACTATCCCTTCATATCTCTCCAACTCCCTCATACATACACATGCAACCTATCCCTGTGTGTGAACGGTTGATCGGTAAGCTCAAAGACATACGTTTTCTAGTTGTGTCTCCGCCTTGAAAACCTTGTCGTCACGTATGAGTGCGCTTCAATCATATTTGTCAGAGTGATAACTTGACATTGACGTGCAATTTGAGTTGTCCTGTTATCAATCTTCAATATAAAATTGTACAATACCCGGAAATTCGATCAATTTAGAAGGCCGACAGCTCGCGCTAAATTTATTAGAGTATTTCCAAGAAGAGACTGAAAACAGCGGTCCCCTGCTACCCACTTCATGCGTACTGGAGAGAATAGCAGATGCGCTGAAGATTGGTCTGCGCAGTGTTCAGCGAATAAAATTAGAAAATACGAAAGGTTTGACTATAGTAACACCTGAGGAGACTCACAAAATCAAAAAATGCAAGACCGATGATGTACCTAAGTGATGCTGTCAAAACTTAGGAATACTTTCTATGATATGAGAAGTAAAGCGCAACATATTACGACCCCTACGCTCAATCAGGAGCTTAAAAAAGGTATATTCCGGTTTTTCCTACAATACAGAAGATAACCGCCGACTCTTGTGTGAAAAATCAGACATTCTTTCCAAAATTATTTTATGAGACATTATATGAATAACCTGGATAAAACGTGGATATTTGCCAAAGGGTCGTTGTAACAAGTTTGATAAGATAAAAACGTAACGAGTTTGAAAAGCAGCCATCAGGGTATCGGCAAGCGGTATGGTGTTCTCCATGCTGGGACCTAACACGATTTTTTGAGAGATCCTGTATTGTTATGTGCTACAAAATCAAAAAGTGCTGACTACTACGGACAAAGATTCTTTAAAAAAGATGGGTATTGAGAAGCTGATAGTGCGTTAACAGAAAAAATGCCCAATTCCCTTGGATTAAAATGAACTTGAAGCAATGGCTGCAAGACAAACAGATACATTTCGATGATGACGCTTTTAAACTCGAGCTTCTAAATCTATGGCGCCTTAATAAACCGGCTCCAAGATAGAAATATTACATAAACATGGTCATCAGGTTTTGCGGCTCCCCCCTTCCATTGTCAATACAACCCTATTGAGTTAGTCTGGGCATAGGCAAACATTACTATGATCGTCATATTGGGGAAAATGGCGATGCTTACAAGAAAGTTCTGATAGTTTGGAACGATGCTCTAGCGAAGGTCACTCCTACAGTTTGGGCCAAGTGTGTGAAACTTACCGAGGACTTGATTAAAGACGACTGGCACAAGCATCAAGTGTTTAATAGGGAGCAGACTA